TATATAAAAATATTAATTACTTTGGAAGTACTGTTCCAAAGTTAGTAATCGACCAGTTATTTCCTCACTTCGATCATTTTGTACTTTATTATCTAATTAAATATGTATATTACTATTAATTAAAATAAAAAGTCGACACCCCTAAACATTAAAAGGAATGAATTAAATAAGTAATTTATAACTGGGAAAACTAGAAATATATAACACTAAAAAATAACAAAAATCATTTTCTTAACATAATTATTATCTTAAGAAAATTAGAGTAGCTAGAGTTAATAAGATGACTCTGTAGATATATGTTGCTACAATTAGTTACGCTAAAAATCAAAACAAGTATAGGCATTTTGATAAATCAAACAAAATACAAATTTAAATCGGTGATTCCAATTCAAAATTGAAAATAAGACAAAGGATATAATTAAATTGATTCCGTCGTTGTTTAGTCAATATTACTCTAATAAATAAAATTTAAATGGTATTGTTCTTTTAAATAAACAAAAAATACTTGATACAACATTAAACCTATCAAAAATATATTTATAATTATGATTTCAATACATACATTATATATACAATGTTTTATACAAATTAAAATTAACGATACTTGTTACAAAGTAATAAAACACCATAAACAATGTAAATTATATTTATATTTAATAATTTATTACTATATTTATTTGAACTATACAAATATATTACAAAATTCAGGTATATTTTCATGGAATTTCATTCGATAAATCTTGAAATTTTGTACGCTTCAATAACAATTAATGCAAATACATATATTTTAGTATAAATGAATATAACTAATATATACAGCGTGTCCCAAAAGGTATTGACATTTTCAATAACTATTGATCCAGTGAATATTTTTCGTCTTTTTTTTTTTTAATAATTTCAACTGTTTTAAGATACGTTAAAATAAAGTGTAAACTAAAAAATGCCTTTTTTCAAAATTTTAACATTTTTTACCATTAAATATATAATGGATTAATAACAACTATTAACTCAAATACTTATTAAGTTACTGATGGAGTATGCATTATAAATATACCAGTGCGAGCTGTACCCTCCGAGCTATACATTCACTCAATGCTAAAATGTTTGTAATTCTACTGTAATATGTACTTATCCTAAAGTTGTTATTGGCCTATCAAAATTTTGAAAAAAACAAAAAAAAGTGGCTATTTTGAAATTTTAAAAAAATTAAAAAAAATTTTTTTTTTTATTCTCCGTTTACTCTCATTACCGACAAGTCCATAATATTCATATCTTTATCTATTACTGCATCCTCATCACCAGGTTGGGTTTGGACCTCATTGTACTATGTAAATTTTTTATTTTTTATGGCAGAGCTAAACTTTAGTTGTTTAGTGGTTATGTATAATTGTAATTTAAAATGTTTTAATCCAAATTTTTAGCTTCGATGCGAAGCTGAGAATGTATTAATTTTACCATTATGTGTTTATTTATTTATTTTTATATAGCTTCTTTGTGCTGTCACTACTTTTTCTCAGCTCTCACTGGAACGAAATATCTCAACGATATATCAAAAGATCACAAATCGTATTTAGTCGACGAAATTACCTTCAAAAATAAAAAATTTTCCCTCGTTCCTCTTAAATGGTGAAAATTCCCCAAAATATCACGATTTTGAATTGATAAATTTTGACATTTTTTCACTTTTTTTTTCTGAATATCGCCATAAATTATTGAAAAATGAACAAATCAAAATAATTTTTTTTATTTTAAAACCTTAGGTATTCCCTTTTATTTGATATAATATCTTTGAAAATTTGACCTTTTAACTGCCCACTAGAGAGGATTTTACCAAGAAAGTTGTTAGTCGATAATGTAATGATATACATAGTACATCATTAATATTATAATAAATTATTTGTATACACAATAGATCATTAATGTCATAATGTATTATTTAAGACTTCAATCAATCAATTACACAAAATAAAATGTATACCAATAAAAATAAGATATATATATATATGTACCTTTTAAATGTTTAAAAATATTAATGAAATTTCGTAGAAAAAGAGTATATATTAATTATATAAAACAAACAGGAAATAATAAACAATATGTAATGGTAGCACATAAGATGAAGGGTAATAAACTATGTCTAAATTATTATATGAGATATGATTGTATTTTATAATATGTAGATCATTATTGATGAAAATGTAATAAATAACATGTAATAAATTACAATTAATAAAGAAATAACGGTGACGTCGGGGATTACTTCTTGCCTTTGAACTACGGTCAAATTTAATATAAAAAGCCAAAAATAAAGAGCATTCTAAGACAGATGCAATCAGATACTTACAGAGGCACTCACTACGCTCGACCATTCCACACTACGAAACATATGCAAGAAGTGATCCGCCGTCAACACAGTTATATTTGTTCACAAAATACAACATCTATTTATTTAAGAGTATAGCAGACAATATCAAGGTAGGAATCTAATAAATTCACCAAAAATAAATAAGGTTTAGAATTAAATATTATGAGTACATAGATTAAGTAGGCATACAGGAAAATCAAGTGATTATCAATAATAATAAATATACCAAGTAAATTTAATAAATCGATAATGTTTGTACAGAGTTACTTGGCAGAGTTATATCGTTGATACGTGTCTATTTCAGGAGTTAGGTTGGAGGTTCATATGTATAGCCACCATACCACTCTGGGTAGACACACGAGGTGACTCAATCCCACCTATCATCGATAACCGTCAAAACTCGTGGCATTATTGATATTTAAGAATTGACGATTAATTATAATAAATCCCATATTAATAAAATAAAGATCACTTTATTTTTCTATCATCTTCTATCTTTCTTACAGACCCTCGTACTCATATCCCGAGTAATAATATTATTAATACAATAAAGTAGTGGATCAAATAAGAATCAAAATCCCGTCATATTCTATTTAACTTATTTCTTTTGAGCAACTGTCAAAGTAGCTCCCCTAAAATTAATAACCCCCCTAATTATTATATCATAATTAACACATAAAGTATTAAAGTAATTAAATCTATTATTATTTTTTTTTTTTGATTCACTACAATAACAACTTTTGCAACATTATTTTGGATATGTTATTGGAAACACTGCGTCCTTTAAACATATTTTAAATTAAAGTTTACATTATAATCCGAACTCAATCCGAAAATCATAATTTTTGGACTTTTGTTCGTCCAATTATAAAATATAGGTTTGTATAAGGTATGTATGACTATTTTTGTAATAATGGCTTAATATAGTTAAAAAAAGAGTGATAATTTTTATACTGACCAACAATTTTGAATATTTATTTTATCATCAGAATTATAATTTAAAGTACTATAAGAATATTTTCCGAGTATCCAGAAAATATCCAGTAGAAATCGATAAATTTATTAATTAATACAGTAATTTGACTTAAATTAACTCATAAGCCTTTAAAAATGACGAAGGATTTCAATCTGGATTAATACCTGCAAAAGCATATAATCCATGAATGATGAAATTGTAAATCCTAAATAATTTTAGTATTATATCTAATTCTTATAATGTTTTTATGATCAAATATTCCTAATACGATTTATCTTGATACAGTTGTATTTTACTTATTAACTATATTAATGAACACTGCTCATTAACATAATGTTAATACGGCGGTCCTCTATTATAGATAAAGGAAAAAAGTTAATATTTACTGTTTGCAATGCTCCCTAATTTTTTTATTTTTACAGACAAAAAATGTTGGTGACGTTTCATGNTTAACTATATTAATGAACACTGCTCATTAACATAATGTTAATACGGCGGTCCTCTATTATAGATAAAGGAAAAAAGTTAATATTTACTGTTTGCAATGCTCCCTAATTTTTTTATTTTTACAGACAAAAAATGTAGGTGACGTTTCATAGAGACTGGTCAATCCCCTCCAGTGTCGTAAGAGGGTTACAATTAAATTATAAAGTTGTTTTTTTGCTAATATTTTAATAACATTTTCTGCAAAAAAATTATCAGACACTAGTTTATATCTCTAAACATGTTCTATCAAAATGTATTTACATATAATTTTTTTTGTCAGTCATTTAACGTGTAAAGTTTAAAAGTGTTTATACAATTAATTAGCGATCAGAAAAAAAATCGATTTTTTTATATACTGTCGATATTATTATAATAAGTGTCTTACAAAAAACATTTAAAGTTATAAAGTTTTAAGTAAAAAAAGTATCTTATATAATTTTAAAATGACTCGGTATTATTATTTTTTTTTTATTCTGAATTTTGTCTTGTAAAATCCATCTTGGTTTTTTAATATTTTGCGCTAATGATATTTAGATTTCTACATTTATAAGTATCAATCTATGTTAGCTCTTATTAAAATTATTGAGAAGTGTACCGGGAACTTGTAGTGCCATGTAACTTTTATTATTTGTAACTATGCATAAGTCTAAATTTTATCTTCGATTCCATCGACACGAAGGGAGTGTTTTCCTATTTTACCATTAATTATAATTTGCATATTTTCTATCCAGTCTCTCAAAATAGTACCATTCTCTCCATTCGATTCACAACCCCAATTGCATGATGTCTATTGAAATCGCCGATTAGCTTCGATGGTTGAGAAGCGGTTGGTAGGAGTGAAATAGGCCACATAACATTTGGTGGCTTATATGTATTAAGTAGGATCATGGCCGTTATACATATAGCTATGACAGATAAAAAGTCAGGTACTGTTTAATTATTGCAATATTATCTACCGGTATAATAAATAAAAACAAATTAAAAAAAGTTGTCAAGAAAATTGCACCTTCACCTTTCTAGAAAATGCTGTAAAACTTAATTTCAATGTCCATGTCAAAGGTGCAACGTTACGGAATTATATGGTATTTTTATGGCAATTCTCAACTCTCATGTAACCGATATTAATGATCAATTTGTCAAAAGAACCCAAAATTAATACAGATGATGGTACATCTGTTTATCATCGCCAAAAACTTCAAAACCTCTTCATTTTTATAAATGTATAAAATATTGCAAAATTACGCTACTGTAAAAAATAGCATTTTAAAAACAAATTTTCTACATTTTAAAACGGGTATATTTTTTTTTAGGCACTGATCCAATTAAATTTTAATAAAATATATAAAAGACATTATTTTTTCTTTTAATAGTCTTCTTCAAATAATTCAATGAAAAATCTAAGTACAGGAAGGGTTTAAAAGTGATCTGACAACATCTAACCTATATCAAATAAATATTATCTAAATAACAAAAAACTTATTTTAGATATCTAATTATAAAAATATTTCGCTAAAATAGAATATAATATAATTTTATTTAGATAAAAAAGTATAGATGATAATCTAGATTTTCCCAACACTGCCTTTTATGTTCCAACTTTACAAAAATTCACCACTAATGTACTCCTTTTGGTTTTGTATATTTATATTATTAATTTAGATACTAAAAAAACAATAAATAATTTTTATTAATGAGATAAAAACAAATTATAATATTGAACAAATAACTAAATTTTAAATCAGTTGTATTATTAATTGATTTTGTAGATGTGAAATTAATTAATTATTTAAAATATTAAACGTACTTATCAATTAATAAGTATCATTTATAATTTCCATAATAGTCATTTTAGCTAAAAATAATTAAAAACAAGTACAATCATTAAAAATTAAAATTTTAATCTTTAATGACTGTACTTGTTTTAAGATTTGTCTTTTTCGTAGAAAAAAAGGCGTAGTTGATTATTTTATTAAGTAAGGCCGTAACAAAAAAGTTTAGAAGAAAGTTTATTGATCATCAAATTCTTAACAATTCAAAACAAAAAATGTTTACACATAACAGTCATTTCAGCTTAATTATTATTAAAAGCAAGTACAATTATTAAAAATTAAAGATTTGTTATAAGTTATTATAATTATTACAATATTACTTAAATAAATTATGAAAGTTGAATTTTTAAGCAGAAATTAAAATCTTTATAAGTACTATTTAAACTATTGCGACACAGTGAGAATAAATATAAAATCGATAAAATCGTGAAATTATTCATTTATTTTACATAAATACTAAAATAATAATAGTTATTCAGTTATCCCAATTTTATCAATCTGAAAAAAATAAAGATAAAAAGTATATATAACATAATAAAAATATATAGTAATTTATAAAGCTTGTGTTCTTATTGTTAGTAATTAAATCTTCTTTTGAATAATTACAATCAGGGTGGACTAATGGTGTGAATATATAACTCACAACAACTGAGTGCTTTGAAAAACCATATGTGTAACATAAAGAAACGGCTAAAATACAATTCACGTGTAAACATAGTCCACCACTGATACAATAATAACTTTTAATTAAATTTATTTGAAAAATTCTGTTTAAGTATTAAATGAAATATATTTTATAAATTATGAAAATATTAATTACAGAGAATCAGCGATTATTAATGACAAGAAGCCCAAACGGTAATCATATTGTCCAAATTATCTTCAATTTTACCATTAATATTAGCTAAGTATTTGCGTACATTAGCTAAATTTACGTCTAGATTATTGAAATCGTTGAAATACTGTACTGACTCTTGTAAAATGTTATCAAAGTTCGAATCAGGTTTTTTAATTTTAAAAGCAAAATAATACACATCATACATATTTACAAATTTTTCATGATCATCTGAAAATTATCCAATTTATTTTAAATTAAATCTATAAAGGGAATATACATGAATATGTAACATTAATATTTTGTAATAATTAAAAAACTTACTTAAGCTTTCCACAAATACTTTCATCAAATCTGTTAAATATACACATATTATTATATTATGAAAAAACAAATTTTATAGATATTAAATTATTTTCAGTTGATTGTAACTTTTTATTACCATCTGTTAATATGTTTGAAATATTTATCAAATCACTTGTATTAATTATTTTAGAACAAAGTATCTCCTCGCATTTTTTGATTTCATCGTCTATCTAGACAAATTAGTTCATTTTTAATTACAAAAAGATTTAATAGCTTTCTAATTTTTTTAAATATTTATTTATTTTATTTTTCAACAGAAATTAAAAAAAATCCTATACACTTGAATGGAAAGCAAATAAGTAAAAAATTTTAAATTTAGGAAATCATAATACACATTAAGTTTTTTCGAAGACTTTTTAATAAATTACATTTAAAACGACGTTAAAAAAAAAAAAAAAGGTTTTTATACTTAATATTATCGTTCAATTACTATTCCAAATATATGATATATCTATTTGACCTTAACATTTTATATGATAATTGTATAAATGAGGTTTTATCATTTATTTTAAATAAATATTATATAAATTTTAAATTTTATTTGAATTTATAAAAATATTGAAATATTTATTAAAACACTAAACCATCTACTAAGTTATTTTATTTTAATATAGATAACTAATTATTAACTTTTCCATAGGTATGATACAGTATTCATAATATTCTTATTCCATAATTATTTATTGAACAATTTATATTCCTTTGTTTATATTGTTTAATTGATATTTGACATGATAAAGTATTTATTATGAGAAGAGACACTATTATTAATTTCACCTTTATTTAGTTAATTTTTTCTTTTCTTCGCGGACAAAAAGATTTTTACATTATTTTCAATTATATATTGTTCAAGCTAATTTTTAAAAATGATTTTTGTTTAGGCTATTTAAGTTGAGCTTAAGAAATTTAAGCAAAAGTTATTAAACAGAATTTATTTATATATTTATGATTACTCCTTCTCCGAAAATAACCGAATGCTAAACAAACATAAAAGATAAATAGTAATTAAAACTATGAATGTATTTATTAAATAATATTTAATGACGTTGAATCATCAAGATTTGAGAAGTGTGATTAGTAATACATATCAAAATAAATTACATATTAAGAATAAAAAATAATAATACTTCTTTGATTTTTAAAATTACTGTTTATTATTATTTTTTAACAAGGACTGGAGCAATATTTGAAAAATCTATCTTATAACGTTGAAATAATAGTCATAATGGAAAAAAACAAATTAATTTATATAATACAACCTAAAAACTAATAAGTACAATAAGTATTACATTATTGACATAAATATACTGAAAAACACTCTTATTGGTAATACATTTTTTTTGTTAAATAATTATTAAAGTCTATGAAAAACTTTTGCATCAATTTCATTTAAGTTATTTTTGGAGGATCAGAGACATTGTGGTCAATGTGTGATCTTTTATAGATGATTAAAAAGGAATGTGGCGGTACTGAGTGTAATAATGAATTTATGAATAATTAATTTTTTTAATTTCAATATATATACGGTTTATTTATAGCTAATTTTTAAAAATCACATATTGCTTAATCGATTCATGAAAGATGCATAAAATGTTTAAGCAAAATGGTTTAAATAATTAACTATAAATTTGCTTTGAGTGTCAATTCCTTAATTAGTTTAATTATATGTATATATATTTTTTTTTTACTTCACTGTCAGAATAACTTGATGGCTAGATAAACACGAAAAATAATGAATAATTAATACTATGGATGGAATATGAATAAATGCTTTAAGTATTAATGAATTATTTATAATTAACTTTATATTTTATTATCTTTTAAATCTAAAGAGAACTAAAAGGTAACCTTAAATACAGATTAAAACATATTAACTTATAACTGGAACAGTGAAAAAATATAATTTTTCTGTTACAGTGCTGAGTGATCCCTGATTTGATTTTATAATGATATTAAAAGGTATAATAATCTAATTTTATTATACCTCCATACAGGGGTATATGTACCTCATTATAATATTATCAGCATTGTAATTGACATGATTAAAAAAAAATTCAAACGGTGTGTTACACTTCACTGAACTAGTTACGGGTAAAAAATAATTTATTAATAAATCATAATTTTATGTAAATATTAATTAAAATTAAAATTTTACTTGAATTAATTAAAATAATTAATATACACATTAATAATACACATTTGTCATCTACTAATATACTTCACAATGATTTATATAATTACAAATTGAATCATTATTCCTATTATATAATATTTATATTCGATTATCATCATTTAATAATTTTTTTTAAATTTACATTGATTAATATTTGTATAAAATCAAATAATTTGATATATGACATGATTCTTTCGAACAAAAGAGCCACCAACTAAGGACCCTATTATTGATTTCACATATTTAGTTTGTTTATTTTTAAAGACACTTAAATATTTCGGAGGATCCCCGGGATTTCTGAGAATGTTGGATTATTTAATAGTCTTTAATAAAAAAATAAGGACGAATAAGAAGGAAATAAAGGTAATGAATTGTTTAAAAAATATTTTATATTTTTATAATTTAAATATAAACGCCCTTATGTATAGCTAATTTTCATAATAAATTTTATTTAAGCTATTTAAGACACATTATTAAAATGTTAAAGCAAAAATTATACACAATAATTAACTTTGAATTTGCTTTGAGGGTTAATTCCTTAATTAGTATAAATTATGCATATCTATATATATATATATATTTACTTCATTATCGGAACACGTAAAATACTATATAAACATAAAAAATAAATAATAATTAATACTATGATAGTTAAATATTTAAAGTACTATAAATATTAATGCAAAAATTGAAATATTTAAAAAACGCGTTAATAAGATATTTCACAATAACACACATATTTAATTTTACAAATTATATAAAATAATATTCTTATTTCTAAACATTCATATTACATTTCTATTTATAACTATTTATTTAATATTTTTAATAACTTTTTCTTTTTTTGTTATTTAGTTAAAACAATAATTAGTTCAAAAAGTATAATAGATAGTTTAATATTTAAAATAATTACTATGAGTAGAGACACTATTATTAATTTCACATTTATTTAGTTAATTTTTTCTTTTTATCGCGTACAAGAAAAATTTTGCATTATTTTCACTTATAGCTAATTTTTAAAAACGGGGTTTTTTAGACTATTTAAGTAGCAAGCTTAAGAAATTTAAGCAAAAGTTATTTAAAAAAATTAATTGTGAGTTTGTTATGAGTCTTTTATAATACATACACCACTCATCATTGGCGCCCGCAGGAAATTTATCAGGAGGGGCCAAAAAATATTAAATACCAAAAAGTAACATTAAATAAAGTGTTTATTAACTGAAAATTGCAAAATATATATAATTATTATATATATTCATGAGTCATTACTAAATAAAAATTTTCAGATTATACAAATTTAAATCAGATTGGTTATAATTTTTAAAAATGTATTTCCAAATCCAGGGGGGGCAAATGCCCCCTCTTGCCCCCCCATAACGGGCGCCCATGCCACTTATTACATTCATATATTCTAAAATTCATATACAGTAGTATATAAATTATTGTCTATTAGACATTAAATTAAATCTAAAATATTTATGTCAATCCTTTAAAGTATTCCGAGAAATATGTCTAAAAATACATTGATCCAAATCTAATGTAATAACTATAAGAAATTCTTTAGTTGTGACAAATCATCTATTTTTAGTAGAATAATATGTAATAAATTACACAATTGAGTAATAAATAGATAATAGTAAAAGGTCGTGACACTTCTTGCACATATAGATGAATTAAATTTAATATAAAAGGGCATAAAAACTGTCAATCTCTCTCACTACTACTTCACCTTATGAACTTTCAACGAATGCAAGAAGTGGCTTGACAATATACGATTTTACATAGAAAATTGATGTATATTCATTTTTTCAACCTTACTCCTGACATCATTAAGGCAAATTCATATTTCGTAGAAACACTTATAAGGTTTAAACTTAAGCAAAATGAGTACATAAATTGAGTAAGAAACCAGAAAAATAAAGTGATCTCTAAAATAAAATATTGTCTAAATAAATAGAGAGAATCAATAACGTCTGTACGAAGTTAGCCAGCCTAGTCCAATCTTTGAACGAGTTAACTGTATAGTCAATATTAAAAAGAACTCTCTTGCGAAGATAGAGAACCCACTTGTGGTTCTTATACTACTCGAGGTATCTATTGACATAAGTCACAGTCAACACAAACTTAGATAACTACTGGTACGAGTGGCGTTTTTGATAATCTATGTATGATAATTAATCACAATAATTTCTATTTCAAATTATTATTATATTAATAAATTTTCAAACATCAATTTCTATATTTTATATCTTCTCATAAAACCTTCGTACTCGTATCCCGAGAGAAAATTATATTATATAATTTTATTCAATAAATATTATAGTAACTCAATTACTCTCATACTCATACAAGACCAACAATTTTAATAAATCATTTTTATCATTAATTAAATTTTATATTTCTTTTTTTGAGTTAATATAATGTTCATTTATTAATTTGTATATTCATATATTTATGATTACTTCTTCTTCCAAAATAACCGATTGCTAAACAAATATAAAATATTAATAATGATTAAAACTATGAATTTAATATGAATCACATCGACTAGTATCCTTAAATATATGAAATATTTTTTTCTTCATCTTCTCCCTCGCAGTAATCTACCGCATCATCAATTCAGACACTAATAGTCGTCAAATTACCACAAAATACATCCAAACATTTCCATTTCTGTTTTCTTAATTCTTGGCTTTTTCTCGTTTTACCGTTCAACACTAGTTACTTCATTTCATTTTACCCATTTGCTCTTAATTCTTTGTCTAACATCTTTGTCAATACAACCGTTTATATGTACAAATAAACCTAATTAATTAAAATTCCTAAAGCTACCCTGAATTCTCTTTCTCTACTATTATTTAAGATTTTTTGGTTGATCACCGAGTATTGTGGTGGTTGCATTAGATTTTTAACTAGAAAAATTATTTGTTTGAAAATAATAGTATTTTTTTTTTTTAATTTTAATATACAAATGCCTTTATTTGTATCTGATTTTAAAAAAAAATTTTTGCATCAAATTTTTAAGTAACATTATAAGATGTTTAATGATAATTTTTCACAAAATTTAACACTAAATATGCTCTTAGTATTAATTCCTTAATAAATATAATTATATATATGTTTACTTCACTATCGGAAGACATCGAAAGCTATATAAACAAAAAATAATTAATAATTAATACTATGAATGCAAATATTATTCTATAAATATGTATGCAAGTAATTATTAATGAACATGTAATGTCGTATCTTTAAACTCTAGAAGAGCATATCTATAGCCTCTGAATACATGGTAATCTAAAATATGTGTCATAATAAATTATTTATTATTTATTTTAATGTAAATGTCAATTCAAATTTCAATATTACTTGACTTTTCTAATATAAAATTAACATTTTATGCCCTCTACTCTAAGTTATAATTGTTATAAATTGTATGAAATAAAATTTGTATTTCATAATTTTTTAATAAATTTGTATATAATCGACTTTATTCTGAAACAGTTACCCTCTGAAACTTGCTACCCTTTGCAATGTACCACCATCCTAAGGTTCGTGGATACATTAATACTGCCTATGCAAGAAGAGGTGAGTTGCCCCTTATACTATACAAAATGGAATAATATAATAATAATTATGAAATCTTATTCTTATTTCATAACACATTCAATGAATATTTATTTAATAATTTTTATTTCTTTAATTTTATTATACAAATTAATTTATAATATTTTTATATATAAATATTCGTTTTTGACTAATTAATAGTTATATTTAAAATTTAAAATATTATTAATTTAAAACTAAAAAAATATTAAACTCAAAAAGCAACAAAAAAATTACGGATACGTATTTCTGATACAATGTTACCATTATCAACGTTAAACACATACTGACACCCCAGCAGAAAAAAAACCTTATCGCCTAGTGATGTTATCAATAAGTTATACGAGGTGTGACAATAAAATAACGAGACTTTCTAAATATATCCTAAACTATTAACGTTATCTATAAAACTATTATTGAAATATGATTAGGAAACACTTATCTAAAAGTACTATAAACAATGTTGAAATCGGTTAACTTTCTTATACGTTAGTAACCTTGTTATTAGTGCAAATTCGACTATACTGCCGAAAAATGTTAGATATAAAAATCGAACAACGTGTTAACATTAAATTTCTTGTTAAATTAAAAAAAACTGCCGCAGAATTATTTCGTATGTTATGTGAAGTTTATGGTGAAGAATGTTTATCAAGAGCTCTCGTTTTTTAATGACACAAACGATTTTACAATGGAAGAGAGGACGTGGAAGACGATGATCATTCTGGACGTCGTACCACATGTTCAACAAACGAAAAAGTAAAAAAAATTGACAAAATTATTCGGCAAGATCGTCGATTAAGTGTAAGAGCTGTAGCAGAGATGGTAAATATTGATAGAGATAGTGTTCGTAAAATTTTAGTTAAAAATTTAAATATGAAAAAATTGTGTGCTAAAATGGTCCCCAAAAATTTGACGATTGATCAAAAATTCAATCGCAAAGAAATTTGTTCTGACACCTTAAAAATTATCAAAGATGATCCATCTTTTATAAATAATATTATTACGTGTGATGGAACGTGAATTTTTACATATGATCCTGAAACTAAAAGGCAATCTATGCATTGGAAGACATCAACTTCCCCAAGAATGAAGAAAGCACGAATGAGCAAGTCGAAATTCAAAGCAATGCTCATTGTTTTCTTTGACATTAAGGGAATAATTTTTGTTGAATGGGTTCCTAATGGGCAAACTGTCAACCAATATTATTATAAATATGTATTAATTAAATTAAGAGAACGTGTTAGAAAAAAGCGACCAGATCTGTGGAAGAATGGCTGGGTTCTTCACCAAGACAATACTCCAGCTCACAGTGCATTTTCAATTCAAAGTTTTTTAACTGAAAAAAATATTTCTATACTTCAATATCCTCCGTACTCGCCAGATCTTGCTCCTTGTGACTTCTTCTTATTCCCAAAAATTAAAAGTTTTTTAAAAGGAACCCATTTTCAAACGTTTAATGACGTAAAAATGAAAACGGCAGAACTTCTAAAAGGGCTAACTGAAAGCGATTGGCAATATTGTTTTCAAGAATGGCAGCTACGTATGCAACAGTGTGTTGATTCTGAGGGAAGGTACTTTGAAGGTGACAATCATTAAATTGTAAAATTTCAAAATAAATAACTTTTATTAAAAAAAGTCTCGTTATTTTATTGTCACACCTCGTATTATCTTATTTTGCCAGTTTACACATGTTTAATAATGAATTTTTCAGTGTGCCAAAATCCCAATTAACAAAATTGTTCTTATTTTTAAACATATCTATTGCCTCCCTAATATTAAGTTATTTATAATTATTTTTATGGTTTGAATAAAGTGATTATGTATCAATAGATATTCAGCCACCAGAGATTTATGAACTTTTTGATTGTTTCTTAAGTGCTCTTTAAACCTGACATCTATATTTTTTATTTGTTTGTCTTATGTAACATTTATTACAACTTTCACATAGTATTTTATAAATATCTGATTTCCTCCCTCCTACTTTATCTTTAGGGTTACCTAATATATTTCTTAAATTATTACTTTTAGATGTTACTAAAGTAATACCAAAATTCTTAAAAATTCAAGCTAGTCCATTTGAGATGCCCGGATAATATAAAATAAGCGATCTAATTACTTTTTCTTTCCCGCGCTAGTGAGTGTACTACCTGGCCTCCTTTCTTTATTCTACTTTTGTTTAGAAATGTATATTTCGGTCTCTAATGAAAATTCCTTATAGACCAGTGTATTTATTCATATTTAACAAATAATTATTTTCTGAATAGTATTGCATAAAGTCCTTCAATTTTTATATACGATTATCATAAAAGTAACAAAGTATAAAACTACTTTAAAAGTTTTTATAATTTCTCCATAAAAATTACAATATTAAATTATTAAATATCAATTTCATACTACATTTAATTACTATAGTAAGTATGTATTTATATATTATACTTATAAATCAAAGAAATACTAATCATAATATAATTAAGGAAATAGAAGTTGATGTTGCTTTTGGAATAATCCACCAATTCCTTAAAACTAAACACTACAGATTTGTAACGAAGCGTTTCTTATGATAGTGATTCCAATCACTGTAAGATATCATCTATATTTGTCCCAACTATGCCACGTTCACGCCGTGTTGACGTTTTTTAGATTTACTTTTAGGTAAGGATACGAAAATATCATTGTGCCACCCCCCTAAGATGCGTGCTGACTCAGTATTGCCTTAGCAAAACTAGATTAGCTAACCCTCATATAAGATAAGATAAAATAATATGTATAATATAATAATATAACATGAATAGTAACATGGTGTTGTTACAGATAAACAATATATTAGCATAAGTATTTAAGTACCGAAAGTCTTTATCGTATAGCGATACAAGTACACATCAAATAACATTTATTTATTATCTGCGTCGGTTAATATTATTTATTTAATTACTGATGTATGAACAGAACCCAATACAACTATAGTTGTTCGATTCGCTTCAGACATCAGTAATTGTNATATATATTAGTTTAAAAATGTTAAAAATAAAAATTCTACTAAATATAATTTTAATCCCCTTACATAATTTTAATATATACGTTTTTATATTTACTTTGTCTTCTGAATTTATGCGATTCTAGAATAACATAATAATAATTAATATTATCAATACGAAATGAATAATATTTTATATAATATATAGTCAAGTAGTTATTATTCAGTAAATAAAATACCATCAATTTGTCATAACAATTTTTATATTCTACGGTGTTCACCAAAATAACTAACGTAGGGTTGAAAACATGTATAATACATATACCAATAAAAATATTAAATTGCATTGTCATTAAAAGTTTTAGTACTTCAAAGAGTTAAAAAGTAACGTTTACAAATTTTAATTTAATATATATATATATATATAATTATTAATTTAAAAATAAAATTTTATAATGTTTGGTAAATAATTTTTGTACAATAGGAGTTATATAAATAATACATATATATTGATATCACTACCAGAACACATAAAATATTAGATAATCATCAAAAATAAATAATAATTTATACTATGATTGTGAAATAAATATTAATGCGAAAATTTCATTTGAATAATTTAAAATATTTAAAAAATTCGTTAATAAGATATTTCACAATAACACAAATTTTATTATTTAATTTTACAAATTATATAAAATAATATTTTTATTTCGTAACATTCCTGTTACATTTATATTTATATTTTTTGATTTCATTTATTATAACTATTTATTTAATTTTTTTTTCGTTATTTAATTTAAACAATAATTAGCACAAAAAGTATATTAGATAATTTGATATTTAAAATAATTATTATGAGAAGAGACACTGTTATTAATTTCATATTTATTTAAAGATAATTTTTGCATTACTTTTATTTGTAGCTAATTTTTAAAAATGTTTTTTTCTTTGGTTATTTAAGTAGCAAGCTTAAGAAATTTAATTAAAAGTTATTTAAAAAAAAATAATTGTGAGTTTCTTATGAGAGCTTATTTATTAAATTGTATATTTATATATTTATGATTACTTCTTCTCCCAATATAACAGATTGCTAAGCAAACATAAAGATAAAATATAATGTAAACTATGAATTTAATATGAATCATATCGACTAGTATCCTAAAAAATATATTGCATAAATTTCCTATAAATAATTTTAAAATGTTTATGAATTGCAGTTGATATTTTTTAATTAAGAAATATGAAATACTATTTTTCTTTATCTTCTCTCTCGGACTAAACTACCCCACATCATCAATTCAGATACTAACAGTCGTCAAATTACCACAAAATACATCCAACTGTTTCCTTTTCTGTTTTCTTAATTCTTATCTTCATCTCGTTTTACCGTTCAACACTAGTAACTTAATTTCACTTTACCCATTTGCCCTTAATTCTTTGTCAATACTACTGTTTATATGTATATATAATACTAAATATTTGTAACTTTCCATGTCAACTATCATGGCCTTGTTGATTGTCCTTACTTTCTTCATTACATTGCCTTCGTGTCCTCTTTCGTCATACTCACACTTTATATATTACATTTTATTCTTTCTAATCCTTTATCGTTTTCCTTTCAAATGCTAACATCTACATGGCAAGCTTTTGATTAGATTCCTCCTTATTTTTTGTAATTAACATTAGATCATTAGCAAACAACATTTATTAAAGGAATGACTTCTTGTATTTACATAATAATCCATTAATTTCTATCACAAATAGATAAGAGTTTAAAGCAGAACTTTGGTGAACACATAAAATTACCCTGGAATCCTTATCCACATCCATTTAAGTCTTTATGGGCGTACACTAGGTATTGTGGTAGCATTAGGTCTTTAACTAGGAAATTGATTTGTTTAAAAATAATAGTTTTTTTTTTAATTTTAATATAAACGCCTTTATTTGTATCTGGTTTAAATAAATGTTCTAAATTAAATATATAAGTAACATTATAAGATGTTTTAGGATAATATTTTACAAAATTTAATACTAAATATGCTCTTAGTGTTAATTCCTATATAAATATAATTATATATATGTTTACTTCACTATCGGAAGACATCGAAGACTATATAAATAAAAGATAAATAATAATTCATATAATGAATTCAAATATTATCCTATAAATATCTATGCAAGTAATTATTAATGAACATTGTAATGTCGTATCTTTAAACTCTAGAAGAGCATATCTATAGCCTCTGAATACATGGTAATCTAAAATATGTGTCATAATAAATTATTTATTATTTATTTTAATGTAAATGTCTATTCAAATTTCAATATTAATTGATTTTTTGAATATTTAATGAACATTTATTGATATAAATCACTAATTGTTAATTTTTACAAATGGTATTTCATAATTTTTACATTCGATAAACATTTCTTTAATAATTTTTTATTCCTTTAATGTTTTCATAATTCCTTTATAATATAATGTCTTAATTATATACATATACTTATATCTGTTTACTTTATTTTCTGAATTTATGCGATTCTAAAATAACATAATAATAATTAATTATCAAATCAAAATTAATAATATTTTATATAAAATATAGTCAAGTAGTTATTATTATTTAGTAAATAAAATACCATCAATTTGTCATAACAATTTTTATATTCTAAAGTGTTCACCAAAATAACTAACGTAGGGTTGAAAACATGTATAATACATATACCAATAAAAATATTAAATTGCATTTTCATTAAAAGTTTTAGTACTTCAAAGAGTTAAAAAGTAACGTTTACAAATCTTTATTATATATATATATATATATACAAATATTAATTTAAAAATATAATTTTTACAGCATATAATGTTTGTTAAATATTTTTTGTGCAATAGGCGTTGTAAAATTTTAAATAGTTGTATAATAAATATGATATAATATATTAATGTAAGATTTATTGAATATATTTACTTCTTTAAGATTTAAATTTTTTCCGAAATTTTAAAAATGTTTAATGTATTTAAAATTTAGAATTCATATTTTCATTTTATTATTTTAAACATTAAAAAAATATTCCCTATTGTTTTTTTCCAAAATTCTATGAAATTAATCACACCTATGAATATAATCTTTATTTATCTTTTTATTCGAGTATATGTTTTTACTTTCAATAGTTAATCATCGAACATGTTTAATAATTTTGAAAAATGTATTTATCAAAAAAAAAAAAAAGAAATTAAATCTTTTGATTTCAAAGTAATTAAATACGTAAACATGGTAAATAAATAAAAACAAAATTATTTTCCAATAACCATGCTTTTATTTTAAAGCTATTAGAACGGTATTTAATAGAAATAAACACTGTTATTTAATTTTAAACGCTACAGATTATGATCTCAGGTTCTTTGCGTAATTTTTAATTTTAGAGAATTATATTGGATATGCAAGCAAAGAATCTTAAAAATGATGGAAAAAGCTAAATATTTGCATAAAAATTTGAAATAATTTATTTAAAGAATTATTACATTCTCCCAAAAAATACAATAAAATGATATTTTTTAAAGAAACACTTGTTTTTTCTTGTCATCTTATCATAATCTTGAGGTGTATCTAAACTTTTGACCGTTACTATAAGAATAATATGAAATATAATTAAAATTAACACACAAAAAATGTTGTAAAATAATAGCTTGAACTTCGTATTTTTTCAAATTAAAGTCAGAATTTTTAAATAAAAAACTATTTATAAAAATCCTTTTCTACAAAAAAAAGTGTAAATATTTATATTGGATGTTCAATTTTTACAAAAAGATGCGAATAATTGATATCCATCAATTCACATTTAATTTAATTATAAAAATAATGTAGAAGTACATTTATTAGTTTTTGTACCAAAAAAATTACCATATCAAAATATGACTAATCTAAATGATAAAATTAACATCAAAATAACTCAAATTCTATCAAGTTTTATCTATACTTTTTTAGCGTGTTATAGCTATTTAATAAATAAATAAAAATAAATATTACGAAAAAATAGAAAAAAATTAAATGAGTTTGATTTGTCATTTAAAAAAAATATTGCAGCTTTTAAAAAACTAAACTAAAAAAATAATTAATTAAGCGTGCATTTGATGTCAAATATTGTTAAGTATACACATTTTAATACATAGATAAATTTTCTATAGATTGAATCGAATACTTCAGAAAATTATAATAACTGTTATATCTTTTTAATAAGAATTATTTATTTAAACAATTTTTAAACTAATATAGATTCTTCAACAATAAATAATATTACCAAGTTTTTTAGTTATTTCCATTCATTCTGACTAATATACATAATCACATATGCCTAGTGTATAGTAGTAAGGCATATTTTTGAGACCTTATAAATACACCAACTGGCAATACAGAATGATAAATGATAAAGTCATAAGTATCAATAAACACTGCAAATCTCCGAATAGAAACGTCATAAAAAATAAATTAACTACCTGTATTTGTTGTACACATACATACCACACACATTATCTCAAAAATTTAAAACTATAAATCTTTGTATTGAATAAATGAATAAAGTTATATAAAAACTAAATGCCATTTATTATTAAAATTTAAAATAAAATAGTTTATTACATTCAAAATTTTTTAACCCATTTGAAAACAATGTTGATATCTCCCTTACAAGACTTAGGAAATGAATTTAAAAAAGTATTATATAGTTAATAATTCAAGAATAATATGTAACAAAAGGTAACTAGAAAATATTTTTTTAATTTTCCCTCTTAAATATTCTAAAAATAATACATAGTACCTATTGATACATAAGGCACCTTTTTCTTTCTCAATAATTTTAATGTTTAGATTAAGATATGTTTTGTGAATTTTTCTAATGTTGTGGAATTCGTAGGTTACCGATAAATGTTGTAATAAAAGTAAATTGTAAACCTATGAGATTGTAAAACACAGCGCCTACACACGTAAAATAAAATAAAATAATGATTCGTTTAAAGTAAATTATTCAAAGTATTTAATATATATATTATTTCATGACCCATGTCAACATTTGGATCTTCGAACCGGATTGTGAGTCAGTACGTTAAAAAAAAAAAGAAGAAAATGTAATACTAGCGAAAACAAAGATAAAGCTTCAATCAAATAAACAAACAAAAATTTTTGTGAATGAAAGTTTTAAAATAAAAATTTTTTTTCTTGTCACAAAAAAGGTGATTGTTTTTCTTTATTGTTATTTATCTTATAATCGGTTTAACAGATAGAAATTTTACTGTGTAGCAGATGGTAGTTTATTTATAAACAAGTAGGTCTCTCTCTTACTAAACATACTAAATAACATCCATACTTCTTGGACTACCAAAATAGGAGTCCTGAGAATATGACGCTTAAGAGAGAATCCTGAAAGTCTCATTTACAAGATTCTAGAATGTTTTTCAAGAGATAAAAGTTGATTCATTTGAAAAAAAATCGCAGCAAAAAAAATGTGAAAAAAATTGGGCAAAATATGAACATCTTCAAGCAGCGATAGACATAGAGGAGAATACTAACATTGAAGCACACACAAAATATGAAATGGAAGATCTGTACTTTAAATATGTTGCTAAAGCTGTGAGACTCATATCATCTCTATGAGAAGGTGTAGATATGATATTTAAAGTAGTCATGGATATAGATATAAATAGCAAAAATATAAATAATTAAACAACGTCCAACGAAAGCTTAAATTTTGGTATTTTAACTAATACAAACGAAAAGTCAACACCAATTATGTCTAAGGTAAGATTAGCACCAATAGACGTCCCGACATTTAATGGAAATTATCATGAATGGTCTTTTTATAGTATATTCGTACAAGTGATTTATAAACATGTTATATTGTGTACAGTAGAGAAATTTTTTTATTTTTGGTCAGCACTCGCAGGCGGCGCATTGAATTGCATCACATGTTTAAAGTTGACAGAGGAAAATTATATAATGGCATTAAAATGACTTGATTACAGTTATCAGAATAAAAAGTTAACAGTGCAAAAAAATGTAAAGACAATCTACGATTTGAAGACGGTGAAGAGAAAATCGACTGCTAGGTTGGGTCAATTTTGTGATTGCCTAACATGCCACATAAAACATTTGGAGACATTAGATAAAAAGCCATATGAGTGGGGATCTACACTGTTGGTGCATTTAATTGTAATCAAATTGGACAGGACAACGCAAAGGGAATGGAAAAAGAAGTTTAAGCAAGAATCAAGTTCCAAAAATTACTGAGTTAATAGAATTTTTAGAGAACAGGTTTAAAATCTATCGAAGCGGTAAAAGATAAAAATTTAAGAGTTCCAATGAATACGATTTCTACAGGCTGCTTTCGATACTTGAGATAATCAAACGAATAACCGATTTAAGTTTATATAATTTATGGTTGCTGTCTCAAGACAGGAAAAAGCCTACCATCGAATTTTATTTTAATTGCACAAGGCCTCATAATACTATGCTTAATTTGTCCCCTGCAAGGAATACAATACATGATCTTAAATAAAGTAGTGAACAGCCATCAACAGCAGGTATACAAGTGATAATTAGACCGAGTACAGACAATAAATCGTCAGTTATAACACAAGTCGCGATAATACCTGAAAACGTTTTGTTATCTACCGCAATGAAGTTATTACGCGGCGATAGTGATCATTATGTCCCAATCTGTGTATTATTGATATCCTTAAGAAAACAGGTTGATAATCTCTCTAACACTTGTTTTTGGTTTCCCCTCAAAATAAGCTGGACTGGGCTTTAAAATTCGAGTTATTCTTCGACAGCCGCGGTTTCGAATTTTTCGGCGCTCTCGTTTTTTGCGATTCGCGAAATGGAAAACGACGCCAAATAGGAAAACGCGGCTCCTACTCGTAATACACATAAAATGGAAAGAATTATATTATCTGAAATAGCTACCATATCCTCTTGGTTTATTATATTCAATTATCATACGAATTATTTATTATATAAGGCTTGTGAAAAAATAAAAGCAGCTAGAATGACCAATCGATATTTAATTATAGATTACATCGACCATTTTCAGTATACTACTACAAAGTAATAGTATTCTGCAATTTATAATTTTGAAAAAAAAATTTTAACTATCTTCCTGCTATCTCTTTATAAATTTATAAAAAATCATAATGTTTAACTAATTTAAATATAAGAAATTGATTTTACTAAAAATTGAAGAATCTTTTAAAATATTTTGACATTTCGGGAAATTATTTTACTCCTACCAACTTGATATAAAAATGCTAATATATTACCATTTTTAGAATTAAAATAAGTATTTAAATATATATTTTAAAATACTCATTCAAAAGTTGTTATATTCTTAAAATGACTTTTTTTTAAGCTAGTTAAACATCATTTTAAAAACTTGAGTTGATAAAATTTTAAGGAAATAGGAAATGGATGAGTTCACGTTTTAGCTTCGATGCGAAGCTGAGAAGGTATTGGTTTTACTAAGATGCGTTTTTTTTTTTTTTTTTTTTTTGTCTGTTACCACTTTTTCTCAGCTCTCACCGAACGGATTTCTTTCAACGATACGTCAAAAGATCACAAATCGTATCTAGTCGAAGACATTACCCTTAAAAATTGAAAAAAATTCCCTCGTTCCCCGTAAATGGGGGAAACCTCCAAAAAAATTACAAATTTAAAAATCGCTAATTTTCGAAATTTTTTCAATTTTTTTTACTTAAAACTGCCATAACTTTTTCAAAAATAAACATATCAATATAATTC